TTTTCTTCAATATAATCAACTCCTTACCACTAGTCTCTTTAAAGTACTAGGTGGTGACTCCATGTTTTTAACTCTTTTAGTCCGAAAGTCCTATATTGTCGGATAACGATAATTATTATCACAAGTTGACATCGGAACGATGTGTTTTGATAGAAAAAATGAATCGTAATCTAGTATTGATGGTAATCAAGAAACTGAAATAATCGATGGATCGGATCAAAAGTAAGGAGTTAGTTATATAAAGAAAAGATAATAATCATATTTCGATATTCTACTTGAAATAGATCGCATTGCACGCTATTCTAAACATCCATTTGTAGTATTTAATTATGTCAAATTATCCGTACTTATTAAGTGTGTTTATTATTAAGTAAAAAGGTAATTACTTCAAAAAGTGATGTGATTTGAAAGATCTTATCCTCACTATAAAACAAATGAATGCTAAACTCGAAAAAAAAAAAAACAAAAAGCTTTATTCTCGGATTGAAATTTATTTCCTAAAAGCATTGGAGCGTCTTTAAAATCTCATGACAAACAAAATGAGTTGGTTACTTTATTTGAAGGATGAGTGCGAGTATTGGTGTGGGTTAAGAGCCTGAATAATTATATTATTCAAGCATGCTCTTGGTTTTTAACCCACATCCAATACTCGCACTCATCCTTCAAGCAAGGTAACCAACAAAATGTGATACTAATACCAAAGAGCTTATAGCTCGGTGGTAATGATTTTTTACAATAATAAATCATGAGTTTAAATTCTAATAAATTAGTTATGTTAAGAGCCTCGAGTGTATTAGTTAAAAAAAAATATGTGATATTGATTTAAACATCCATTATTTGTTCATGATATGGTAATTAAATTTGTGATATAAAAAGTAAGTAGTTTGAGAGTTGTTTATTTGATCGGGTTTGTAATGTAGAGGATTTTAGATTTTACTTCAATTTGTTTTAGTGTGAAGAGAAAGACATAGATGTGAGGATGATTGCATAAAATTAAAAAGTTGAGTACCTAAAAAGAAAAGTTAATTTGAGTAAAAAAAAACTTTAATTTTTTTAACAAATGATTTTAAATTTAACTTTTTGTATATATAAAAAATATTTTAAATAAGTGTATCTATCTTAAGTGCGAGACAAATCAATGAAAAATTAGTGTGGGATTTTAAGCTGGGGATATTTTGGGAATAAAAAAAAGTGAGGTGGGACTGAGGGACTTGGGAGGCTGCTCTTGTTCGCAAGCCAACAGAATTGAAATTGAAAAAAAACAATGATAAAACTCAGCAAGCAAGGACACGACACACAAAACAAGAAAGAAACACGTCATAAACCTGTGGCGGCGGCTTTCATGTTATTCTCTTGGTCCAGTAAGGACTGCTTTTCTCGAATATATATATATTCTATTGAATTTACTATTTTATATATTAAATTCAAGGGTGCGCGACTACTCAATCCCATCCACACGATGTAAACTCTAGACTCTGCTATTTTATTTAGTTGATCATGGTAAATTAGTTCGCTTAGTAAAATTGAAATTACTCAAAAACTTTCATTTCGGTTAATATTAATTTTCAGTAGTACAGAGATCTTGAAAAAACTTAGGGTGGTTTAAAATTAGAGTAATATTTCAATTTTTTTGGAAAATTATGTTAAAAAATTAAAACTATTTAAATGTAATATTTTTATGCTAGATTAAATTTTTGGATTAAAATAATTTTTTCAGATGGTATCGGAGTTCAAATCTTATTATTTTACTTTCTCTTTTAATTAGATATAAGGTATTGATGGATCTAAAAGGCTTTTACTAAAAAATATATTAAAAATAATATAAATTATATTTTTAGTTGAGCCTTTATATCTTAAGTTCTCATTAAATAGTTTAAGAAGAACTATAATAAGTTTGAAAACCACATTTTTATGTTATATGTAGTTTTCATTTACAAGATTTTCCCTATTTTTTAAATATACAAAATTAAAATGATGAATAATACAATATTCTTCTTTTATATATAAGTACTTTTAGTAATTTAAAACATTAAGATTATTCTTATTATTACTATTTTAAACATTTTCATGTTTTCTTAGTGTCATAAATTTAATATAAATGATTTCCTTTTTAAGCTTAATAAGAAAAACTGTTTTATTATAAATTTTAATTGAATGAAGTAAACTAATATTTTATAATTAGAGTATTGTAAATGTAAAATATTAATAATATAACTATTATAAATTATGGTTTCGATTTTTTATAAAAAATAGTTATAATTTTGAGGTTTTTTTCTTGTTTATGAAATAATTATTCTTTGTTTTGGAGAAACGTTTTTTTATTTTTTTGAAATTTTTCATTAGAAACGGAAAACTGAAAATAGAGAAGAAAATTACAAATGAAAAAGAAAAAAAATATTATTTTATGTCACTGAATAGACTAGGATTTCTTTGAAGTCTAACGCAAACGTGGCAAGGTCCATACATAAGGTAAAGATTTTTTTTTTCTTTTATGATGGCAACTTGATCCAATCGTACACTTATAATAATTAAAAAAACCCTACTTGTACTTGTTTTTCTTTTAAAGGAAACACCAACTAACACATAAGAAGTGGTTCAAAAATGAATTTTTTTTTCACTATTGTCGTTTGTCGCTAATCATTATTGTTAAACACACCGCATCTACCATAATTTAATACTATCACTACAGTGTCCTTTCCAACTGAGAGAGTCCTTCACCTCTCTTTTTTTTGGTTTTTTTGGTACATGGCATGAGTGACATGATTACTGATTTCCAGAAGGAAAATGAAAATGATAAAATGATTCACAATACATTATCAAACGTTTTTTTCAATTTTATTATTATGATAAAAAATGACAACTTGATTGAGTGGCTTATGAAATTAAAAACCTCTATGCACTTTGTACTTTTTTTTTTTTTTTGAAACACCAACTTGTACCTCAAAATAATTGTTATAATAAACCGCTTGATCTTGTCATTTCCGCCGTTCTGCAATTATATATGTTTGGTCCCATTAGTATTGCGATATCCATAATCCATCCCAGCTACTGACCCCTTGTTTGGATAATTCCTCTTGGGAGGAAAGAAAAGAGAGAAAAGAAAATGAGAGAAAAAAAGAAGGGAAAAAAGAAAATCATTTTTCACTTATTGTTTGGATAAGGATGGAAAGAAAAGAAAAAAAAATACATTTTTCTTGTTTGGATAATTATAAAAAGAGAAAAAAAGAAAATATATTATTGTATATTTACTATAATACCCTTATGACTATATTTCTATATTTAAATACTTATAATAAATTTGTATGAATATTTTTTTCATGAAAATAACACAAATTATAATAAAATAAAAATCTAGAATGTAGCATATATCCGAAATGATAAGATAGATAATGAATCGTCTCCATAGAATAATCCATAACCGTTTATTAATTAATTAATTCAATAGCCAATTTAAATTAATTATCAACATAAAATTAATTCAATAGCAAAATAACTCATTCGTTAACTTTTTTTGTCAAATTGATTAATTTTTTTATTAACATTTAACCAATCAAATAGCGATACGTGTAAACTTAGAGGTAAAAATATAAATTTTTTTCTAAAATCATTTTTTCTATAATTAAAATAATTAACAATCATTTAAAAATCATTTAAAAATTATAAATAAAAATTATAATTGTATGACATTTACTTTTTCCTCTTATTTTTAATTAATATTATATTTTATTTGGTTCTTTCACCATCATCAATTCCCACAGACCTCATCATTTCCAAGCCCTTATGTTTCTGTACATATGTATGTGTTGCCTCTTTTTCTTGGCCGGCTGGCTCAGAGATTTGCTTTTTTGACAACACCAATTACTACTTTCTTCCATGTTATCATTATTTGCATCTATCTTTGATAATGAGTTTTCTTGATCGGCTGTTTTGGTAATGGATTCAGCGAGAGAGAGGGAGTGGGTTTGCAGAGACGAGATCGATTGAGAAACAAAAAGAAACAACAGGCAAGATTGAAAATGAAAGATGGGGTTTGCAGAGATTCGATGATGGGCTGTTGGTAAGCGAGAGCGAGAGAGTGGATTTGCATAGAAACGAGATGGGCAGGGAATAGAAAGAGAAGGAACGCCAGGCAAAGGCGAAACTAGAAAAAAATAAAAATAAATCAGTTTTATTTCATTTTTCTCCCCATTTACTTCCAATTTTGAGAGAAAAATGGACCCCATCATTTATAGATTTGTTTAATATTTTTTTTCTTTCCACAGCTTTCTTCTGCAAATCAAACAGAGAAAAATTTTCATTTCTTCCCTATTTTTTTCCTCTCCCTCACTTTCCACCCTATCCAAACAAGGGGTAAAAGATTCCTTAACTCATCTCTCATCTACCATTCCACTGCTTTGATAATAAAATTACATTTCTCATCGGAGCCTCAAACTGCTCGCTAAGCCTGCAATTACTCATCTCTGCAATTTGGCCTCTACCTTTTTGTTGGTCCTAGAGTAAGAGGCTCACACCACTAATTGGGAATATATTTGATTTAATGAACACGATTTGGATCATAAACCTTATAATTATAATAATAATAATTGATAGATAGATAGTAGAACGTAAGGGCTTCAACATTGCGGTGGCCGAAAGGTATTGACTACTTTTATGTCGTTAGGTGTTGGCTACTTTTAAAACAATATTTCCCTCCCGACAACCCAATTCATTAACTGAGTCTGTGTTAAACGTGCGGCTCTCTCTTTCTCTGGCAACTATTTGCAGCACCAAATTGGCCATGAGCTTTATAGCTTTCTGATTTCTAATTGTATTCTTTCCTCTTCAACCAAAACATACCTGTTAATTGTCTAGTCTTTTTCGTCCTGCTTCAGTCCACTCATTTTCTGATTTCTGGCGGGAATTATTTTTCCTAACATTCCCAGGAAAGTTGATAACACAGCCCTTCTTCATGATCAAATTCATGTCAGAAGAAATCAGGGTTTGATCGGAGATAAACTAAAATGGAAGCTGGCAAAGGCGTGATAGACAAGAAAGGGACAAATGACGTGGTACTCCATATTTCGAACACGATTCAGGATGCAAAGAATTCCCAGTTGGATTTTTCTCCAAAAGACTCATCATCAAATCTTGAGCTAACAGAGTTCGAGAATCTGAGAGTGAGAGTTCAAACATCTCCTTCTTCTTCAGAGATACCAAAGTCAAGCCCAGCTCCAAGTCCAAATCCACACAAGCCTCCAAAAATCCCAACAACAGAGTCCATAACAAGAAGAAAATCACTTGCAAGGTCTGAATTTTCAAAGCCAAAATCAAGACTGGTAGAGCCACCCTATGCAAATGATGCAAGCTTAAAAAAGAGATCAAGACCGGCCACTTGGGGAATTCAAGCTCACCTTATAATGTTGCTTCACCGAATCACACAGTTGGTGTTACTACGCCAAGAGATAACTTGAGGTCAGCTCCAATCACCCCAAGAACGCCCTTGATTGGAACGCCAGGACTGGAGGAAGATGATGATGAGGAGGTCTATAGGACGGCGAGTCTTAATTTGAGCAAAATAATGGGTAAGAAGTGGAATGTATTACCCTTGATTGAGTTATTTGCATTTGTGTGCATTATGGGGCTGTTAATTGCTAGCTTGACCATTGATAGGTTGCTGAATTCAAAGATTTGGAATTTGGAATTATGGAAGTGGTGTGTGCTCGTATTAGTTATTTTCAGTGGTAGATTGTTTACCGAGTGGTTTATGAATGTTTTGGTTGTCTTGATTGAAAGGAACTTCTTGCTTAGGAAGAAGGTGCTTTATTTTGTATACGGGTTGAAAAGGAGTGTTCAAGCTTTTATCTGGTTAGGTTTGGTACTGCTAGCTTGGGCTTTGTTGTTTGATGCTGGATTTAAACGATCCAGGCAAACTACCAAGATTCTGAACAAGATTACAAGAGCTCTTGCTGGTTGTCTTATCGGGGCCACTATGTGGGTGGTGAAAACCTTTTTACTAAAGCTACTGGCTTCTTCTTTTCATGTCACTAGATTCTTTGATAGAATTCAGGAATCAATCTTTCATCAGTATGTTCTCATAACTCTTTCTGGGCCTCCCGTAATGGAGATGGCTGAAAGCATTCTGAGCAGTAAGACGACGGCTGGCCAGTTGAGTTTCAGGAATACTAACAAACAGAATGAGAAAAAAGAAGAGGTGATTGATGTTGATAAGCTTAAGAAAATGAAACATGGGAAGGTCTCTGCTTGGACCATGAAAGGATTGATTAATGTGATTAGTGGTTCTGGCTTATCCACTCTCTCCAACAACCTTGACCAGAGTGATGAGGAGGATGGCGAGCAGAAGGATAAAGAGATTACTAGTGAATGGGAAGCAAGGGCCGCTGCTTATAAGATTTTCAGGAACGTGGCAAAGCCTCATGGCAAGTGAGGATATCTGCCTTCTAAAAATCCCTTCGATTTATTTGTTATGATGAATTGATGATAGTTTTTTCTACAATTACCTCACTTTCTTATCTGTTTAATGCACTAGGTACATCGACGAGGATGACCTCTTGCGGTTCATGAAAAAGGAAGAGGTGGAAAACGTTATTCTACTATTTGAAGGAGCGGCAGAAACTCGAAAGATCAAGAGATCAACTTTAAGAAATTGGCTGGTTAGATCTTTGTCAAATTTATTGTTCTGATGCTCTTCTTTCTATCTGCATTTTCTAAATCCTTTCCGGAGTAAAGATAATGCCAGTACACTTGTCCCCTGCCACTGATTGTCTTCCCATGCCCTTTGGTTTACTGTTAGTATAAACTTTAAGTAATTCTTATCTGTAGTCGACTAAATTGCCATGATCTTGTTCATGAACATGCTTAGTTTTTAAGAAATTGGGCGTCTATCAAATCATCATAGTTTTATGCCATGGTTCTCAATGGACTATTTTATGACTTGGGTATAGAACACTAGACCTATTGAAGTAAACTTTTAGAATATTTTCTCTTGTAACACAGTTCTTGTTCGCAGGTGAATGTTTATAATGAGCGAAAATCACTGGCGCACTCCTTGAATGACACAAAAACAGCCATTGAGGAGCTGAACAAATTGGTTTCTGTTGCTGTGTTTGTTGTGATCATTGTTGTGTGGTTGCTTGTGATGGGATATTTAACAACCAACGTGCTTGTCTTCATTTCATCTCAATTGTTACTTGTGGTATTCATGTTCGGCAACACTGCCAAGACCGTGTTTGAAGCTATCATATTTGTGTTCGTCATGCACCCATTTGATGTTGGTGATCGATGTGTCGTTGATGGAGTGCAGGTGCGTCCCTGATCCTAGAATTGGAATTATCCCCATTAAAATGTGAGGGTCAACAATATAGACTGACGCTCTGATTCATTGCAGATGGTTGTCGAAGAGATGAATATTTTAACTACGATCTTTTTAAGATATGACAATGAGAAAATATTCTATCCAAACACAGTTCTTGCTACCAAACCTATCAGCAACTTTTATAGGAGCCCAGAAATGAGTGATACTGTGGAATTCGCCGTCGATGTATCCACTTCAATTGAGACTATTGGAGCTCTGAAAGCTAGGATAAAAATGTATGTTAAGTTTTGTACACCTTTTATTCCTCTTGTTTCTTTGCTAAGGACTGCATGTTATGACCGTTTGAGCACCTTTTAATTAGATGAAAAAATCAGATGCATACAGTATTGTGATAATTTCATATAGAAGTGGTTTTTAAGGAGTTAATAGCTGGCAATAAGGTACAAGATAACTTATTGTCGATTCATATGCAAATAATGAGAAATAGGGGCTTGGTATCTCTTGAAATACAAAATGATTTAACTGAATTACATGCTAAATTTTTATCTTGATGCAAAAAAAAAAAAAAAAAAAAAAGACTATGTCTAACATGGTTGGATTAATTGAATTCATAAGCCTATGATTTTTAATTGCTTTTTTCACTTGTGCATTTCAGTTCTGTCATTTTCTACTATTTGATTCACACATAGATTTCTGGTTTCCGCTTCCTTTTACTACAATTTTTTTCTCTATTTTAATGACATCGACTATACATTATCTTAATTTTTTCGTTTGTGTCAATTGACTTTTAGTGGGTTTGTTTTGAGATTTCAGGTACTTGGAGAGCAAGCCTCAGCACTGGCGGCCTAGTCACAGTGTTCAAGTTAAGGAGATTGAGAATGTAAATAAGATGAAAATGGCGCTCTATGTTAATCACACTATAAACTTCCAGAACACTGGAGATAGGGGAAACCGAAGATCTGATCTAGTTTTAGAGATGAAGAAGATTTTTGAAGAGCTTGGTAGTAAATACCATCTTCTGCCTCAAGAAGTTCACTTCAGCTATGTTGGGACAGGCACAGCAGCTTCAATGGCTCCAAATCTCGCAAGATGATGGTCCCTCTTTTTTGTCCCAAATTTCTTCACCTGCAATCCCTTATCTTCGTTCTTTGATTCGCTTCTCATACGTGAAAATTGAATTTCTGTCAAACTTCTTGGTGGGTGGCTGGTGTCAGTGGCAGAATGCAAGTATTTGAAGCTGGAGTTTTTTATTTTATTTTTCTTCATCCAAGATGCCATATTTGGGGTCGAAAAAAGAATGGCATTTGGGTTGTGATATTGAGTTTTCTAGTTGTCGAGAGAAATGTGCTCATTGTATTTTTTTTATTTGTGGTTCACTTGAGGCTGTGATTTTTAATATTCACTTCATTTTTTTATTTTTATTTTCCTTTTCAGCACCTTGTTTGCCATCATCTACGATTATTCTCTTGTTTCTAGTTTGATTTGTTCTTGCTTCCGAGACAAAGCTTCTAGTCTGGCTATTTTTTAACTTGTAGGAAAGTCCCAGAAATGTACCAAAACTTGGACAGAGAAGGCAATTTCAAAATGCACCAAATTAAAAATTTAAATGTTTTCGGCTAGCCTTTAAAGAAGTTAAACCTGACTCTGGGTATTTCAAGCCCTTAATGAGAAAGTGTATCCACTGGACACTGTAGAAACTAACCTGAACCCATTGGAAGGGCCCAAACGGCGCTGACAACAAGTGAAGTGATATGATCCACACCACCAAAGTTGCATCACTAGTGTTGCCAATTGCCAAATGCCCATCCACGAGAAGTCTCTTCCAAATTTCAAACTTGATGCTGATTGGGCCAATCAGATAACCTTATCCACCAATTCCTAACGGAGAAGCTGCCACATTGGACAGAGATCAAGATGACAAGTCCACCCGATAATCTCAAATTTCCACCTCTCATTTCCTCCCCCTCGTAAGACCAACCATAACAATACCATCTTCCCTAATTTAATTGGTAAATTCATCACCAGAAAGCTTCTTGTTGAGTAGAGAGAGCAGAAGCAAAAAGATCGGAGAAAGAAATGGCTTCAACTTCAACTGTTTCAATGGCCTTGCCATTAACTTATGCAAGCCAAAAGAGGATTCCAAGTTCTGAGGCTTTCTTCAAGCCACTCGCAGTGAGGCCATCTAAGGCTATGGCGGCATCAAAATCCAATGGTAGATTTCAAGTCAATGCTTCGTTGAAGGAGAAGGTGGTCACTGGATTGACAGCAGGTGCACTCACAGCTTCCATGCTGATTCCAGAGGTAGCTGAAGCAGCTGGGTCTGGGGTTTCTCCATCTCTCAAGAACTTCTTGCTCAGCATCGTGGCTGGTGGAGTAGTGTTTGGTGCCATTGTTGGTGCAGTGATCGGAGTTTCCAATTTCGACCCAGTTAAGAGGACTTAAGCCATGTATATTTCTGAGAATGCTTGGAATTCTTTTACAACTTTATGCCATGTATCTTGTTTGATGTTTTCAATGATGATCTCAGTCCTCTCTGTGTTTTTTGTGACTCTCTTAGATGTAACTTGGCCAAACACTTACGAATTCTAAAATTTAGTTTTCCTATCTTGATGCAACACAACCTTTTTGTTGCTCTAAAACCACTACCCAAATAATATGACTTATCATTTGCAACGTGAAAAATACTGAAGGAAGCAATCCTTCATGGTCACGTTATAAAACGAACATCTTGATAGACCATCAGAAACCTGCTAACCGTGCTCCATCTGACCCCTCGTTGCAATTCGCAAGACTTCAATTGGGAACAAAGGGGATTTGTCTCTTAGCAATTTGACAGAAATGTTTAGAGTTCCATTCTGATGGCTCTTCTGCTCTCATTTTGAGAAAGAATCGCAACCTTTTCCACAGCATGCAATAAGCACAGAAAGCACAAGATTGCATGACAATTTCACATTCAAAATCTGATTACATGCTTCACAAAGTCTGTAATCATATCAAACATTCTTCGAGGCCAATGCCCACCGGATAAATCAGCACCTGATGCGAGAGAGAGAGAGAGAGAGGGTGACAGAATTCGATTCAATGTATGTTGAATACAGGCTAAAAGCCTTAATCTGGAAGGTGCCTATAAATTTGTATTGGTTGACAATATTGATAAAATCACTAACAATGAATCTCCTATAAACAAGTGGTATAAAGCCTAAATGAACTCTGGAGAACTTACACTACTGGATCTAAAATCAGATGTTATTGGTCCAATTTATTCAATATCTACGAACTTTTGAAATCAAATCAAGCATGTATCTGCTCTCTGAAGAATAGTTCACCTTGTCAGCCTTAATAACAGTTATCTTCACCCTTTGTTCATCGCCATACATTTCCTCTTTGATCTTAAGCCTGAAAAGATACTGGCAAAAGAGTCGGCTCCTGATTATGTCTGCAAATCTGGTATCATCACGCAATTCATATTTCAACAAGTACAGTTCCTTTGCTGGGCAGCCCAATATCTCCTCCCCAGACTCCTGGAATGCTGTTACCCAAGTCAATCCCGTGTGGTCCTGAATCTGAACTTGAAGAAGATACCTATAATCACACTCATCAAATTCTTGATTGCATCTATCACATTGCCACCTTGAGTTTCCAGATCTTGTAACTTTCTTGTTACACTGTCTATCTCCAATCATCAAAGGGCAAGCTGTGTAACAGAAGGTATCTGTTTTGATAAAACTTATACTTGCCCTCACAGTGGCCCAATCAGGCTTATCTGATCTTCCAAGACCTGCATGCTTGATCTGAGACACAGTTTTGCGAATCTCATTTTTGGGTCCTCCTGACACACAGTCTCTGGAAATAGAAACAGATGCAACATCATGGCCTCCTCGATCAAACCAGTCTTTCACGTCACGAGCCTCAGGAATATCTGGATTTATAAAGAGCTGAGTAGAAGAAATTGTTCCCAAGGATTTTCCATTGAAGTCACTAACCTTCCCAGCTTTAACAGCTAAAACAGGAAAAGACCCAGAATCAACCATCTCTTGCAGCTTTTGACCTTCCTTGTTGCAGAAATCCCCCCAAAGGGTTAGCTCAACTGTCCTGCCAGAACCATCCTTCAGATTCAGAATTCTTCTTTGAGTTTCCATACCATTCTTTCTTAATATAGGTACTGAAGGGTTAACAGATATCACAACACCAATAATATCAAATATGGAGTTGTTTTCAGCAGTCTCAATTTCACTGATGGGTTTGAAGGAAAATTGCTGTTGTGGTATGGAACCATCCTCTTCGGGGCAAAGATCCACAGTTGAAGTTGCCTCCAAGAATATCTCCCACTCATTCTTCAAATGGTTGAAATTCTTCTGAGCAGGTTTTAAGCTACCTTTTGAAATCAGATAAACCCTACCAACTTCAATAACATCATAGAAGCGGTCAACAACAGCATTGAAGCAGGTCACTCGTATTTCACCTCCATCAGAATCAAGAAGGTCAAAGGAAAAGACCTTCCCATCCCCACGAGCATTATTATAGCGACGAAGATCCCCTTTAGCAGTTACCCTGGCTTTGATAGCCCAGCGCCCCTGATATGGATTCAAAGCATTGATAGGAATGATCCGTGCTGGTGCCTCATTCTTCATAACTGCACCATGATTTCTGTAACTTGGAGGGGGTTGGTATGGAGGTTGAACAGTCGGTCGGAAACTCTGCACATCATTACCATGAGTTTGGGCACTCAAAGCAGGTCGGAAACTCTGCATATTACTGCCCTGATTTAGAGTACTCAAAGTGGGCCGGAAACTTTGCACATTTCCACCATGATTTTGGCTGCTCAAAGCAGGCTGGATGCTGCTCATATTATTTCCATGACTTTGAGAACTCAGATTGTTATAACCAACAACCCCAGCTGGCTGCACCGAGTTGGTATTAGGCAGTGTCTTGTGAGCAGTAGCATCAGGAAACATTTTCGGATTTCCAATTATTTCACAGTCTGGAATTATAGTTTCCAAGTTGAGCACAACAATAATCCTGTATGAAGAGTGACCAAAACAGCCGGTGTCAATTAAAAAAAAAGAGCTAAACACTTGCATTTAATCATTACTTCTCTCAGTTTATCACAATCATAATCTGATCAACTTATATAACTTTATGCAATACTGTTCAAAGAATGATCTCGACAATTTTACAATAAAATTATCGGAAAAAAAAAAAAGATCAACTCCATTTGTTCAATAGCACATGCTGAACTCTTAATTAATTTCGGAATAAATTGAAAATTAATATAACATAAATTAAAGCTAAACATAAAAGTTAATAATGACTACTACATTTCATGCATATAGATAATCCAGTTACTACTAGCTTCTTCTTCTTCTACAACTTCAATTTATAATCAATTAATAATTTTAAATTTCAAAATAAACTCAGAATTTACTCAAAAATTCAATCCAACATTTGAAATCAGAATATGTAGAAATTAATAATAACAAACAAAGAAGAGATGAGATTTGATTTATAGGGAAACAACAACAATTGACTGACTGACTTGCGCTTTTGAACTTCGCTGCAAATGTAATCGATCAATTGAATAACAGATCCTTTCTTGACAAGGCCAGTCTTGACTCGGTCATTGAGCTGAGTACCCAGCATGGCGTGCTGAGTCAACACGGAATCGGAGACGAGGATCCTGAACCTCTCCTGCGCGCTTCCCATTTGTTTTATATCTAAAACCTGAACCAGAGGCTTCAAGTTCACATCGCCGCCGTTTATCGTCGCTATTGCATTCGGCGTCAGATTAACAGGCATCGTGTTAGATGATTTAAACGAGAATTGAGTTTGAGTGCAACAAAAACCCTAGAAATATGATAGATTATTTTTATTTGGAGGGTAACAACGGGCGCGGCTTGCATTTGATTGCAGGAGGGAAGGAAATAACCGACTTTGTTACTGTTTTTGTTTTTTGGGATAAAATAAGCCTGAAGGCGCAAACCTGCTGAATTACATCTCCACCCAGTTTAGGAAATATCAATTCTATTATTACTTTTCAATATTAACCGTTAAGAAAGAGTTCAATAAAATAATATTTTGTCTTTAATCTAAAAAGTTTTTCTTTTAATGAATTTAAAGTAAAAGGAGTATTATTTGTAAACAACTAAGTGATATCAATAATAAAATTGTTACATTTTCCAACGAGAATTACCGTTATAACATCTCAAAAACTGTTTTTTTTATAGTAGATTCGGATATTAACGAATCATGTTGTGCTGTACATAAATAAATAAAATTGAAAAGTTATAAATAGAATATTTAATCTAAAATTTACTCTTTCTTATGTTTTTTATAAATTTTTTATTTTTTATGTATAGATTTTTAAATAAAAACTTATAATAATCTAAATAGAATATTTAATCTAAAATTTTAAAAAATACCTTAATTTTTTTTTAAATAAGATTGCATAAAAAAAACTCAATTATTGATATAAAAATTAACAAATAAATTTTTTTCATTCTTATTTTAATATTTATATCTATTCAAAAAAAATCAATAATATTAGTATAAAAAGTTGTATTTGAATCATTAGATGGTTCTCCTAAAATATTATTTTAATTATTTTATTTTAAAAAATAATTTTTGAAAATTTAAAAAAAATTAATAACCAATGGTTAGTGTCATGTGTGTAGATTCAGAGCTAATTTCTAATAAAATCAATTATCTCATATTTTTTATTTCTACATCATTAATCATATTCGGTAGGTTTAAAGTGTGTAGCATAAATAAAAAATATTTAAAAAATAAATAAATTGCAAGAAATATATTAAATTTAATGACTAAAATAAAAAATAATTAAATTATATCAATCTAGTTTTAAAATAAATAATAATAATATTCCAAATTTTTATTCAAAAATCATATATAACGAAAAATAAATCATATTTATTAATAAATAAAATTGTACAAAAAATTAAAAATTAATTTCATGAGAATTTTCATAAAAAATAATAAATAAAAAAATAGTTTTAAAAAATAAGGATAATATAATCCAATATATTCAATAAGAAATAAAATAAAATAACCATATTCTAAAATTTTATTAAAAATCATACATAGAGAATAGTAAATCATATTTATTAAAAAAATAATTTTATGAGAATTTTCATAAAAACGTCAAATAAAAAATTAATTTTAAACAATAAGAATAACATAATATGTGTGTATGTGTGTGTGTGTGTGTTTGTTTGTGTTCATGCTAATTTATAAAAATATATCATGTATATTTCATCATCTTCAATTTGTGTGAAAAACCAAAACAATAATGATTAGTTTTCTATAATTTTTGCACCCAATTCAATAATAAAAAAAATAGAAAAAAGAAAAAAAATTAAAAAGCATTTCAATCGATATATATATATATATATATATATATATATATATATATATATATATATATATATATATATATATATTGTAACACCCCCAACTTAGGACCTAATGGGCTGAAAATATTACCGTCGTTAATCACATTCGAAGTGTAATAAATGTAGGTTAACAAGAGACTATGATCTTATCATAACTTATTTGAATATGTTTACGTAGTGGGCGTCTAGTAATAACGCTTAGGTCCTATTTCTTTATTAAAAAGTCGCTATAAATTATTTTTTTTCGAGTTTCCTTAAACTCGCTTACCTTTATTCATTCACCTTCTTATGTAGTCATTAATGTAATTCACTTACTAAATTATTCGTTACTATTTATTTATAATAAATCTCAACTATTACTACTACATCATTTCGTTATTACCGATTCGATTACACACCTTAATTATTTACATATAAGATTAATTTTATGTCAATTACTACAAAATTGATTTATTTACTTTCACACCATTAGTAGGTCATATTGGTTACTTGTTTCATAGCCTTTACTATTGTATAGGATAGGCTAGCTACCTCAAGTACATGCGGACCTATAACTCGTAATAAAATTAAAAACAACATATAATGGGTCTACCCGAATATCGAACCCCCATCCAAGATACATACTTGGGTGCCTCTTTCGATGATCGGCTCCACAGAGAAGTAGGCCATAGTTAGTTACTTATCTACACCACAAGAAACTAAATGAGCGATAACTCAATAAGTTAATGGATGCATGTAATACGTGTTCATGTACATGCAGTTATGTAACACTCGCTTTATGCAAGGTAAGTCTCCTTTTTCCTCATGTCATAAAAGAGAAAACAATCTAAAAATCCTTTTTCTGTTTGTGGACATGTCCCATTTAGGTGCTTTAGGGTTTTCATAATATATATCCGACGAACCGGATCCGTCTATGGACGCGCCATACCGAGCCTCTAAAAGTGCACGTCCGCACTTGCCCGCCCCGAACCATTACCACACCGTATGAAAAACCCATGAAGTCCTTTTCTTAAAACCTCAAAGTCATGAAAATCTTTTCCTTTAAAATCATTCGATTGCTATTGGATAATCATGGCATAAAATATATTTTCATGACTTAAAACATTATTCATGAGCTAAGCATGCGTATGCAATTGCAATGAACCAGCATGCTCGTATTAATTCATGAATGCTTACTTTGAATGATTATGTAACCAAGTCATAAGAATCAATATAAAATTGAGCAAGCATAACGAGCATAGATAACATCAATCCAATATAAACCAACACCGTCATCATTGGCACATCAATCATCGTAACCCAATTCTCGTCATCAATCACATTCAAGCATAACCATTATTCATAACCTAATGTATTCATATAGCATTTGAAAAAAAAAACATAACCATAACGTAAATGATCCATAGCATAAATGAAGATGAACATTTTTGTTCTATTTCTTTGTTAATTAAACTTACATTTCACTTTACTTTTCTAAATTCTTTTCTTTAGGTTCTTAATGATCTTTCCATATTTGGTCTTTACCAAATTAAGAATCATTTCATGTTCCAACCTAACTAGGTATTATTTCATTCATCTAGGAGATTCAATTTCGGTTTGGGCCTTAATGGGCCTAAGGCCCAATTTTTCCTAACACAATTTTTCTTTAAGTTTTTATGATCCCTTTTCACTCTAAGCCATCCTTTTATGGTGTTTTGAGTCTGAATTATCAAATTTAAAGTTTAAAACTTGGTTTAAACCTAATTTCCCAAAATTTTCATTTAGGCCTAAACTTAACCTCTTTAGAATCCTAACATTTTCTCCTTATTTTGTCCTACCATTTTAACACTAAGTAGCCTAGATATGTAAAAACTATAGGAATTAATTTAATTGAAATTTGGGACCCGAAATCTTGTCCAAACCCGTATTGGGCCATAATGGGATGAAATTGGGCCCAAGCCCATAAAACCCATTTTCTTCAACTTTTGACAAATTCTTCACTTCAACTCATCAACATATGCTTGGGATTCCAATCTTAAATTCTTTAGTTTAGGTCGAATGGTTACCCTTAATTAACTTTAGAAATTTTTGAGTTTTCATCAAAATTTTCAAGCCTAATTAACTTTTTTCCATCTTAACTACATGAATTATGAATTCAAAATCATTTTCTCCAAATTTGGGTCACCAAGAATCCTAACCTTAATTTTTCTCTAATTTAGCAATTAAGACAAATTCAAGTCATTAAACATGAAATTGACTTGAAATTAAATATTCTTGTGGTGTAGGTGAGATTAACCGACCTAAATATGCTCTAATTAAACTTCAAAAGGTGAAAATTTTGAGAATTTCTCCTTCTTTCTTCTTCCCCCAAATTCGACCTAATTCTAAATTTTTCTCCTTAGAATTCCTTGAGCTTCTAACTTGTTTTCCTTGATTAGTGAGGTGAATTAAGGTGTAGGAGTGTTTAGAGTGGTTTTTGGGTAGGAAATCTTAAGGAAAATTTTGCCAGAGTTTCCTTTAGGTTTAGTGATTTTTATGCCATTTTCTTTAATTTCATACATACCTATTTATAGGCAAATGTTTGGGGGACCTTTGACCTCATCTCCACCATTGAATTAATGTATTCTTGGAGGGATCCCATCAAATTAAAATTTAATCCTAGCCCTTTAAGTGGTTAAATCTTAAACCTTTGATTTTTCTTTTAATTCTAATTCATTCATCTTGCATGCTTACTCACCCCATCTTTTTTAACAAGTCAAAGTGCATTAATTAGGGTCTAATTATGCTGTAAATTTCGGGTGGAAGTTGGTGGAAGTGTCCAAAAGTTTTTCTAAATTTTAGTCCCTCATTTTCTTAAATTTTTCTCTAATTACTCCTCTAACCATCATTCAATTTTCCAATTGGTCACTTTAATCCCTTCCTTAAAATAAATTTTAACAACTTTTAAACTCCTTAGATTTATAGCTAATTTAATTTAGAAGTTCAAACTTTAAATTTTATGCAATCTAGTCCTCAATTTATATGCAATTACCACTTAACTCTAAAATTTTATTGTATACTTTTTAAAATTTAATTTCTTTCCATAATAAATTCAAACATTTATTAAGAGGATTCAATCTAAATTTTCATAGTTTTTGGACCTCATATAGGCCTCTAAATTAATTATTTAGTGTGAAAATTAGACTATTTCTTAGAGAAAATATTCCTTGCACTTAATAAAATTAATCTAAATTTATTAAGTATTCCTACACATTCCCTAGGATTTTCCTATGCCCTAAAAAAAATTCTTCATGCTTCTAAGTCACCTAATTTAATTTTTTATCTCTAAAAACACTATTCCTACTAGGGGTGAGCAAACGGTTCGGTTAATCGAAAACCGAATACAATCGGATCGAATTATGAAATTTGGTT